GTCTCAAAAAAAAAAAAAAAAAAAAAAAAAAAAAATTAATAACCCTGTCAACTTCGCCCTTCCAACGACATTCCTCCTCTTATTTCCTTTACCAACGCGTGAAGAACAATCCACGGCGCCCATCGCGAAGGAAATTGTCCGACCGCGGCACCGCTGCATAAAAATGCATAAATTCTTCTACATATATAATAATAGGTAGCATATGGAGATGGATGCCAGCTGATGGCGTGCACTTTGGCTAGTTTCTCTACAAATCTGAAGTGGCCCCCCCCGTTTTCTTTTCCCATTGATCCCTCTCTGTGCGTTCTATCTTGGAACAAGGACTTGGATAACTTTGCTCTGCATACAGATGGAAGGAGTTCTTTCAACTGGGGTGGCCATTCTTTCATCTGGGGTAGCCATTCCTCCATTTTGTTTTTAACCAGAGGGGGATATCTGTTCCTTCGTCAGGGACTAGGGACGAGCCGCTAGAGAAGTTAAGAAGAGGTCCAATTTTGCGCAAAGATAGCGAAGGCGCCACGTAAGAACCAATGCGAAGGGAGTAACCCATGCGTAGAAGTAAGTACCAGGTGAAGGAACCTCTTATAAACTTCTCCCCGTTTGAAGAAGTGGAAAAATCAACACCGCGAATTGCGCCAACACCGCTTTGATAGAAGAGTAAAATGAGCGAGCTGCCCATATTGAAGCACAAGAAGGAAATTAAAAAATGCATCAAGAGGAATAGGCTAATCATTATTAAGGGGGAGACGGGTTGCGGGAAGACAACCCAGGTGCCTCAAATAATAAACAGGTACTTTTTCGACAAAAGGGGGGGAAGACGTAGTGGCGGTAGTAATAATGATCGGCGGGGGGATGATGGCGCAGGTTGCAAGGCTGGTCACTCCGCTGAGTCGCCAAAGGAGAAACGTCCCATGAGGATGCTGATCTCGCTGCCCAGGAGAGTGGCAACCATCACAGTAGCGGAGAGAGTGGCCAAAGAAATGAACAGAGGAGGCATAGGAACTTACGTCGGTTATGCTATCAGATTTAAAAATGTGACATCGGATCAAACTAGAATCAAATTTGTAACGGATGGGATCCTCATCAGAGAAATCATGAATGATCCCTTGTTAAAAAAATACACTTTTTTAATATTAGATGAAGTACACGAAAGGTCCATTAGGACGGATGTCCTGTTGGGTTACGTTAGGACATTGATGGAGAAGAGAAAGAAGCTCAGAATCATCCTCATGTCTGCAACTTTGGACGTGGCTACATTTAAAAGCTTCTTTTCCGACCCACCGATCATTTCTATCCCCCACAAGTTACACCCCGTGAGCATTTTCTACCCCATCAAGCCCGTGGAGGATTACCTCATTTCGGTTGTCTGCACGGTTCTGCAGATACATTTCGGGGAGGGCCAGCGGCAGGATGACCAGCCGGATGACCAGCCGGGGGAACCCCTAACGGAGAAGCAGACCAACGAGACGGCCAAGCAGCCCACCAACGACGCCAGCGCGGCACCCCCCCCCATCGGAGACGTGCTCGTCTTCCTGCCCGGCCAGGAAGAAATCGAAACAGTAAACTTAATGCTGAAAGAGAAGCTGAAGATAATTTATAAAGGCTCCCTGCTGAGGAAGCTCATTGAAGACGATCAGGGGGATGAGCAACAGGGGGGCCAGCAGCAACCGGGCCAGCAACAGGGGGACGTGCTAGACAGAATTAACGTCGCCCTGAATGCGAAGAATCCAATCGAGGATGGCATTTGTTTCCACTTCGGCCACAGGGAGGTGGTGCCGGACAAGATATACGCCATGAAGATTCTGCAGCTTTACTCGTCCCTCCCGAATAGGAAGCAGCGGGTCGTCTTCGAGCCCGCGCCACCCAACACGCGAAAGGTAAAGCGGAAGAGGGGAAGCGGAATAGGGAACGCGGCACAGGGGATGCAGCATAGGGAACGACCCATCGGCAAAGTCGACCCGGGGGTGTAGCTCCCAGAATTTTAGCCGTGAACGCTGTTAATCGAGTGGATTCCCGCCTTACCTTTAACTTCTTCCCTTTGTTCTCCCCGCTCCATCTTCCCCCTCTTTGTACCATCCCGTGACGACGCAAAAGGGGGACGTACATTCCCCCGAGAAAAACCCTTCTGTGTATGATGACCCGTTCTACGCCCACCCCACTATCACTACGATATATCTGCGTCTATATGCTTCCCCCTCACCCGTTTTTTTTTCTTTTTCAGGTCATCCTCAGCACGAACATCGCCGAGACGTCAGTTACCATCCCAAACATAAAGTACGTGGTGGACAGCGGGCGCGTGAAGATAAAATTTTTCGACGCCAAGAAGGGGAGCAGCGTTTTGAAGGTCACGCAGATATCGAAGGATGCCGCCATCCAGAGAAGTGGAAGAGCTGGAAGGGAGGGACCCGGACAGGTTTACCGCGTCTACTCCAAGGAGGAATACGAGAGTATGAACCCGTTTTTAATTCCTGAGATTTTCCGCTCCGATCTGACGCAGATCTATTTGGAGTTAAAGGTGGGGATTGCTCCGTGTGCACAGAGGTGTAGCAGAGGAGGGGCCGTCTTTGCATTTTCCCGTCCCCTACCACGAATCGTGCCGATCGTGCTGATCGCGGTCATCCTGCTTATCATACGTGTCACGTGGCTCCCCCTCCCCCCTGCAGGCCATGAACATCGCCAACCCGCTGCAGTTTAACTTCCCGGAGAACCCCAAGAAGGAGCTACTCCTGCACTCGGCGAAAGTCCTCTTCCGAATCAACGCAATAGATGTGGAAAATAACCTGACCGAGGTTGGAAGAAAGATGTGCCTCCTTCCACTGAACCCGATTTATGCAAACATGATGTTGTGTTCTATGGAGTTCCATTGCATGGACGAAGTCGCTACCATCGTCGCGTTCCTAAACTGTGAGAGCATATTTCTCAGTTACAACTTTTATGAGGACTCCAAAATGGTGAATGGGGACGCCACGGTTGACGCTAAGGCGGATAGGACTTCCAACGCGGGTGGCACTTCTAACCGGGATGCCACTTCTAACCACCCCCCCGCCGAGGAGGAGGAGGACCCGCCCCTGAGTGACAGGAACAAACTCATTAACATCGCGCGGAGGAAGCTGATACATCCTGATGGAGACCACCTAACCCTCCTGCACATCTTCTACCTGTGGCAGGAAGAAGCCACCCCGAAGCAGCAAAAGCATTTCTGCCACTTATATGCCCTCAACAACGAAACCTTACAGCAGGTGCAGAAAATAAAGGAGCAGATTTTACAGATAATGTCCGGCAAAATGGGCATCACAGTTTCAGCAAAGCTACATATGCATAAATGGGATCAAGTCTTAATTTGTCTATGCAAGTCCTGTTTTTTTAATGTAGCCAGATCGACCTCCAATGCAAATGAGTTCATAAATGTCGTAACAAAGAGCAAGTTGTATATTCACCCATCGTCCACTCTTTTTAGTTCGCACATCAAGGCATCTTTCATTTTTTATTCGGACGTCGTGCAGACAAGGCGGCTGTACGCGCGCACCGTCACGAAGGTAGACGGAGAATGGCTACTCAAATACGCCTCGCAAAACTTCCAACTTGCAGAAGCCCCCGCGAAGTAAGCTGCGGTATGGAGTAGCCCCTCGACGTCGTGTTTGAGACTTGTGGGACGCACATCCGTGGAGGGGTCTGTTCACCAGGGAAGCAAGTTCTATGATGACCATGCCCCCTGGGGTACCTCAATGTCAGAGCATTTATCCGCGGCATCGTAGGCGAAGAGGGGAATCTCCAGTTGGCACTGACCTCTCGCTACGTACGTCGCGAGAATCGCCAAACACGCCAACACCGCCAACACCGCCAACACCGCCACGACATTTTTTGCCCCTTTCTTTTTTTTACCCTCCTCAGAGGAGGGGAGGCCCCCGCTTATGGCCCATTTCTGGGCCTCAAAGTCTAACCCCCCCTGGGGGTCCTTACCTTTTTTTTCGAGTTTGTTCGCCCGTTAGGGTTAATCTATTTGTTTTTTTGTTTGTTTGTCTGTCTGTCTATCTATCTGTCTATCTATCTGTCTGTTTTTTTCCATTCCCGCGAGTGGGTTCCTCCTCCGAGGGGGCGCAAACGGGAGGGCACGTAAGCATCCCCTGTTAGACAGGATCCCCCCTTACACAGCCGCTCCTGCCGCTTCGACCGCGACTACCAGCAGAACTTATCGCGACCGCTTTTCACGCGCATGTCGAGCTTCTCCTCGTTGGTTAGCCGACCATCGACCTTTTTCTTCACAACTTTGTATGACCAGAGCCCCGTCTTTTCCCGCACCTCGACCAGATCCTGCTTGGGAGCCTGATCAAAGACCTTGGCGTACTCCACGCCGATATGTGCCCCCGATTGGTCGAGGGATTTCCCACTGGACTTCCCCCGGGGGACGATGTAAAACGTACACGTGGTACTTATGTCCGTTGTAAACGCCTCATGGACGACCAACGTTTTGTTGCTTAACACAGAAGTGACGGTCCTTCGTTCGTTTCGAAAAGTCGATGGGTTCTCCAAAATGATGTCATAACCCTGTTTTATTTCAGTCATAAAATCGGTTCTCACTCCATGGACTGTATTTTTCTCTGTTGTTACTCGTCCTGTTCCTTTTAGAACATTTTCGGATCCATCTGTCTTGCCATCATGTCCCGATGGGATTCTCTTATCCTCAGCTTCTTCGCCATCCCGCGCAATGCTATCCCCCGCAACGCTATCCACCTGGTTGGCTTCTCCCTCGCGCACTTCCCGCTTGACGGATTTTTTTTTTTTTTTTATTTTTAAATTTAGCTTCCCCCCAATGAAGCCGCTGCCCTTTTTGCGCATCTTGGGCACTTCTCCGCGGAGAGCTCCACTTCGATGAATTCTTCGCTGTCTTTCCAGCGGAGTGGGGGGGTTCCTCAGCCGCAGGGTTAAATAGATTGGCAATGAGAGAGCTTCCAAGGTGGAGTGACTCTTCTCCTTACGCGAAGGTCCCCTCGTGTTAATGTCCCCTAGTAGGAAGCTCCCCTGGTGTGAATGCCTCTTCGTGTGAATTTCCACCCGTGCATAGGTGCAACCGCGCTCTTGATTTCTCTCCGTTGGCCGAAACAAATTGGCGCAGGGCGTGGCGCCATTTTCACGTCAAACGAGTTGCCCATCAAATTTTACCCATATGCAAAGTGAGGGAAAAAAAAAAGAAAGGAAAAAAGAAAAAAGACGATTGTGGGGGTGGAAAAATATAAAAAATAAAGTAAAATGAAATAGAACAGAATAAAATGAAATAAAATAAAATTTGAACGGGCCCCAATTCGCACAACCCAATTTGCAGATTAAAAGAAATATTTTTGTCGGCCTCGCGTGGGGAGAAGTGTGAAGGCTGGCGAACGGCGCTCGGTTCTGCTGCAGACTGCACTCTCCGCGTGAAAATTGTTGCGGTATTTGGGAAGGGGGCCGATTCGCCTCATCAGTCATTTGGTTCGTCTCGTTTGGCATTTCCCCCCCCACTGACTGGCTCATTCTGTGATACATCCCGCTTCTACATTTTGTTGCATTATACTCCGTTTTGTCTTTCCTTTTTTCCCCCCCTGGGGGTACATATAACCCCCTACATAACAGCACACGTCCAAATGAGATAGAAGATACCCCCATCAGAGTCCGCTAAACTGAGGGGAAACAACCCAGCACAGGGAAATCTCCACAATATAACGTCCTTACCATTGAGCCTTTTAAAAAAAAAAAAAATCAACTCAGTACTTAACGCGTAAATTGCGCAATGGGTTAGGCTTGTTACATTAGGCCACGTCTTACCGTTTGCTATTGCAAAGGTGTGCGAAGGGACACCCATGGGGAGAAACCAACTATATCGATAACAACATGAGGAAGGAGGTTAAACGTAGAAAAAGGAACAAAGCGGAAAGGGGGTCATATGGCGAAAGGAACGTCTCCACCAAGGATGTTCCTCCTCCTGAATGGAATAGCAGACGCCCCTTTCTTATCGGACAACTTCCCTCCATTACACAAACACCGCATGAGGGACTCTCTCAAGTGAGGGGATAACCGCTAATATGGCCGATCCGTCAGTGCCACGAACCACCGGCGCGTTGCCCCCGTCCGCACACCTCCAACCGACGCTGGATAAGTGGGTATATTACAAAAACGATCAAATTCGTTGCTTCTACCGGTCCAACAAATGAGTTTTAAATGAAAACTTCGGATGCATTTATGGCTGCCGTTGTGGAGCAGCACTTACGCAAAACAACCAAAAAAAAAAAAAAAAAAATTCACACACGTGTAGGTAGGTGCCTACATACTATACGCTCTTACGTACGTACTTGCGCAGGCAGACAAATCGGACTTACAGAAAAAAAAAAAAAGAAATAGAGAAGCGCTCGCGTATTACGTATGTGCAGGGGCACTCCTGAACAAAATTGACGCGGCGGACACAAAACTGGGGAGGCAAAACGGGAGCCACATAAAACGGACTACACAATGAGGAAGGGTGCTTTAAATACTCGGAAGAGTAGACATCGCTGAGAGGGCCGTGGGAAAGGCTACACACTCGTCCAGCCTTTAAAAAAGATTGGGTGAGCATTCTGTGGGATTGTCGAGTGGTCTCTAGCGGGAGGGAGGACCTACACAGCGAGGCGGATGCGTGGTTATCTTCTTCCCGCTGCGTATTGACACTATAGCAGCGGTGTCCTTATTTCACCCCTTCCCCTATCAACACGCCAAGTGCACCTTATTCGGATACATCTTGTCGAAGCTCTCCAGCGGCATGTCTATGTACTGCATCACCTCGTCCAACTTCCTACGCCGTACTTCCAGTGGTACGAGGATTTTTCGCTCCTCCACGGTGAAGTGTAGCAGCTCCTCCTTCGTGAAGTTGAAACAGTTTGTTATGTAAGGCAACGGGAAAGTACTCCCTCCATTCCGATCATCCTTGAAAGCATTTAAATTCCGTATGTCGTCAAAGTAGGTGTGTAACAATGCATTGCAGAGCTTGATTCGTTTTTGAGGATTGAACTGAAGAAGCTTCCCTAGCAGATCGATACTCTCCTGAGAACTCTGATTTTTGATCAGCTTCTTCAGTGTTATTGGTTTGACTTGAGGTAGCTTTACATTCTTGTGGCCACTTTTAAACGAGAGGAAGTCTTCATCATTGGGCGTCCCCAAAATTTTGATTATTTCGACGAGCTGATCCGATGCACAATCTGCCAGGAAGAGGGGCTTCCCCAGGATGAGTTCTCCCATGACGCAGCCTTAGGGGGGGCAGGGAGCGGCGTAAAGCGGTACGAAGCGGCGGTGTAGAGTAACCCGTGTAGAGTGGCCCCGTAGAGTGACCGTATAGACCGTTCCTTATACAGCCGCGTTAACAGCCAATATGGGAAAAATGCCGCGGACGGACGCAGAAGGAGAGTCCCTCTCCCAACTCCGCGCCCACTGCGTGCAGTGCACACATCGCGGTTCCTCTCACGCTGTCACACTCTCACGAGATTTACCTATCGACCAGGTGTCAATCGCCTGGCTGTAATAATTCGATCCGAAAAGCAGCTCGGGGGCTCTGTAATATCTTGAACAAACATAACTGAAATACTTGTAATTCTCTTTCAATTTAATGGAGGTGTTAAAATCGCACAATTTGATATACTTATACGTGATGGCATTCATATATATTCTGTTGAGACTGATCTGCTCTTCCGTGTGTTCTGGGTTGAGTTCGAAACGGGACAATATATCCCCCTCCGTGGAGGAGATGGAGGAGGAATTGTCTCTGTCACGAGGAGGCGGGACGCCCCCGTTCTCACTTGGATGACATTCCACTTTATCCTTCTCTGCATCAACTAGGGGGCTCTTGTCCGTGCACCAATTGGGCGACCCTAGCTGAACAACCGATTTGTCCTCTCTCGACTCGCTCTTAAAATTGTTTGCAGAAAGGGGAGAGCAGTCCTCCTTCAAACTGGCCTCGCACGCATCGCGGTTGTCTCTACCCATGTCGTAGGTGTCCTTAAATAACTCGGTCATGCTCGCCGATCTTTTTAACTGCATGTCCTTTCTGTCCAAACTGCTCATTACGCACTTGACGGAAAACGGCGTACTGCTCCTACCGTAGCGGCCGTGGCATCTTTGCACTCTCCTTTGGGAAGTCTCGCACGACGTGGTCTCCATCCAATGGTGGCAGTCACCCGAATGGGTTTCCTCTCTTCTTCCCCTCTCGGAAGATCCCTCCTCATTTTGCGAACCTTCCTCCTCGGCCTTGTTAGCAGAATTGGGGATACCACCACGGGAGGGCTTTCTTCTCGCGGATTGGCCAGACGCGGCCAGGCCAGGCGCCGCCTCACTTGCCCCCTGTGCTTCACTTGGGTTTCTCCCGCCACGTCGCCTATTCATTATGTACTTAACCTTGAACGAATTCTGAATGCACACGAGGCACTCTTTGTTGTCTCCTTTGTTGTCTCCTTTGTTGTCCCCTTGATGGCCCCCCTTCCTTAAGCCCCCTACCCCGCTGCTACCCTGCTTGTTAAGAAAGATCAGGACGTTCTGTGGCTTTATGTCTCGATGCGTTATACACAGCGTGTGTAGGTACAGGGTCGCCCGAATCAATTGGTAGAGGTAAATCTTAATCTGATTCTCATTGAGGAAGCTTTTTTTAATATACTCCCTTATATTGTGACATGGACAAATATGGCTGATGCTTTCTTGTAGTGCGTTTATGTTGAAGTTACTTACCGCGTTTTTGATCACGCCGCTTCCCCCCCTGGGACAGTCCAATTGTGCTCTGGTCAGTCGAGTGGAGTCGCTATGGTGTGACCCTTCCCGATTGTCCCTCCCACCTGTAAAGTTCGCATCGTCTAAGCAGTCATCCCCAAGCATAGCGCCATTACCATTCTGTACATACCCTTCTTCGTTCCCACTTGGCTCATAAAAAGTATTAACATGGTCAGGTGAATTTTCTATGCTAACATAGTAAAGAGAGGTGGCCAAATCGGTGTTCCCATATTCCATAATCATATGGACGTAGATTCCTCCATTTGAAGTGGCCGTGTAAAATGCATGCTTCAATTTTACTATGTTTGGATGTCTGAGTTTTTTCATAATATCCACTTCCTTAAAAATTCGAGCATTTTTCTGATACGTCTGCTTCAAGGCCACGACACATAAGCTGTCCAGACAGTAGGCTTTATAAACCACCCCGTATACTCCATTTCCGATTATGTGTAAAATTTTATACTTTATGTTTTCCTGGAGACTTGGTTCCCTTTCATCATCGAAGTATATGTTTACGTAATCCTTTAGAATTTCGTTCTGTTTGTATATTTTTATGAGGTCCATTTTGGACGGCAGGGAGGATCAGATTGGAAGAGGGAAGGAGCACACGGTTAGGGCGACACGGAAGAAGGGGCGGGACTACACGCTACTACCTTCCTATACACACAGAGGGCCCCTAATCATCACTTCGTGTCGCCACAATGGTATCATGGGCACCATTTAACGGCGACGCTTGGGGCGTCCGCACGAGGGTTCGGCAAAAATGTGGCCTCTTTCCACGTGCAGGCAAGGACAAAAAAAAAAAAAAAAACAAAAAACAAAGAAAATCCCGGGGGGATGGAGGGCCAAGTGCCCACCTGCAGAACTAAAAAAAAAGGAACTCTCCCCTCCGTCTGGCGCTAATCCTTCTGCACAGGATCATTGCGAGTTGATTACTGCCTCCCACTTGCCTTTCTCCTGTGTCAAATGCACACACACATACACAAAGAAAAAAATAAATAAAAATATATGATGATGACGTACGTATCGCGCTGTACCGTGCCGCTTCGAATCAGCCCGCGTCACTCCAACATCCTCGTCAGTGGGGGGGAACTATCGCCTTGACGCATTCGTTGGGGTTGCCCGCTTCATGTCCATCAGTTGGCTTGGGAGCATTTCTCACATCACTCAGTCACGCCGATTGGCACGCACGCGTGTGTATGGGCATATATATAAGTGTATAAACGCGTGTATAAAAAACACTGCGTGAAGGGCCTTTTATTTTATTTATTTTTTTTTTCGCTTCAGCTTTCGTTCATGTCATTTTGTTCATTTGACTCATCTCTGTTTGGAAGGGGGCGAGGGGAGCCCGTACACGGCAGGAGAGGACAACTATGTCATGTGAGAAAAACGCGGCACCAGAGGGGACTGCGGGCCAGGCGTGATGCGCAAGGAGTGATGCGTAAGGAGTGATGTGTAAGGAGTGATGTTCCAGGCGCCCTGCGCGAAGAGGATGCACAAATGGGAGAAATAAATTGGCCAACGGATAGGAAGCAAATGGCTTGCAAAATGGTGTCAAGTGAGAAAACAACTCCGGTCGCGCAGAGGGGGGGAGGATGCGCCGCACCTACTGACGGCCAACAAGGCGAAGAGCCCCCTCCGCTGTCGTGGATGTAGAATAAACACGGCGCAGTCGTGCTGGATGAGTATTCGCTATTTCCTACCTCGTATGCGTCATCCGCGTCGTTTGTGCCGTTTGTGCAACGCGACTCGCGTTTTTCTGCCTGCACGCCATGTGGGAGTCACGTACGCAGTCTGCCGCTCCGCAGAGATTGTCGTTATAGTTATATGTATTTGGAGAGGCCGAGTGGGGAGAGAAAATTATTTTGCCCTTATGCGTAAATGATAAAAACGCACTGACTTGCTGCCGCCGTTGTGTTCGCGCGGGACGCAGCATCACTCAAACAGCGTATACGCAACGTATGCACCACATATGCACCGTGGAGAGCGCCAATTTAGCTGCTTCACTCCGCCCACAGCGTTGCTGCGTTGTTGCGCCGCTATTTCGTTGTGCTATTTCTTTACCTCGCTGTGCTTTCCCCTTTCCTTAAAAATGGCGAAACTGAAAGAACAAAAAAACCAAAGTGTGGAACAAATTATCATTGAAAAAAACGTGCAACAGTAATCGAAAAAATTGTTTCGCAGTTGTATGTCAGGGGAGGATCACCACTGTGGTGAAAAAAAAAAAAAACTTGACACCCATGTGATGGTGAAGTGGACGTAACATAAGACTTCGCCCCCCAGGTGGAGGCGTGAGAAAGACATCAAATTTTAATTTGGCGAGAGAATACTTCACTAAGATGTTTTTTTCTTTTTTCCCATGCTGGTTAAGCGGCGGTGGGGGGGTCAGCCAAATTGGAGCGAGAAAAAAAAAAAAAAAAAAAAAAACACCCACAGGGGAGCAGCATCATTCAGGTGACCGCTATGCGGTGAAGGCAACTCATCGTATGTTTAATTCACGCGATTATCCTATATTTTGATGAGGCGATTATGCATCGGAACGAGTGGCCTTTTAAAACTACGACGATGAGGCAACGCCCTTTGGATATTCCCTCATCCGATAGGTACGCGACAAGTGTGCATTTGTCCCATCTCAGTGGAGAACTCACTTGTGATCAGTTGGACAACAAAATTTGACTTAAAATGGTTAGAAAGACGGTCACACGTTTGGCTTCTCACAGGGGAGAAGTAAACTGCGCCGTGTAGTTCCTTTAAAATGGATGGGGAAAAAGGGAAATAAAATGCAACGAAGCGGCAGAAAAGACAACAGAACAGAAGGAATGGCACAAAGAATAGCAGTTGCAACACAGCTGCAATCGCGGTCCTAAATTATCGCGCAAGGCGCGCGACATAACTTCGCAAAGCTGCCAACCCAACGATGTGTAGAGGGAGCCAAATGGAAACAGGGAGGGTGGAAAACCACCACTACTGGTGCTCTCTTAATTGTGTACGAAAAAAGGGGGAAGATATTTTTTTTCCTTTTTTTTTTTTTTTTTTTTTTTTTTTCATTCACTGGTAAGCGAATGGGAGAATGATGTGGATCTTCCTACGTAATCGCCACGGCGATGGGTTAGCAGAGAGAAAAAAAAAATTCTTCCATGTTGTTTTATTTCCTTCATTACCAACATGAAATTGGAGTGAAGCGCCAAGGGTAGGGGAAACAAAGTCGTCACATTTGTCTGGGTTACCCTGCATGGTATCTTATTCATTTTTCTTTTGCCTTTGTTTTTCTTTTCTTTTTCCTATTTTTCCCCCCCTTTTTTCTTCTTTTCTCTACCTTGGAGCGCCTGCCTCAACTCTGCTTCAACTCGTAGAAGGTCTTGGCCAAGTACTTCCCCCTGTCTTTGGCGAACTTGGCAAAGGTGAGTTGTTCCTGCGTCGGGTCGGTGGGGCGAAAAAAAATAAAAAGAATAAACAGAAGATGAAGGTGGAAGAGCAGAAAGGGGAGGTTTTATCTGGAAATAAGCTAGCTTACACAGAGGATATGAGAAGCGGTGCGCCGCATAACTGCACCGCGTAACGGCAGCGGTTAACCACGCCGCTAAACCACGCCGCTAAACAATGCCACTCAACCACGCGGCTTTATCCTGCTCACCCTGAGTATCTCCTTGCTTGACACGTGCAGAATTTTGATATTCTTGGTGAACTTCTTCTTCATGATCCCGCTCAGGAGGAAGAAGAAGACCAGGGCCATGTTGATCATCAGGTAGGAGTTTTCCCCTGGGGGTGGAAAAAAGTACACATTGGAGCGAAGAGCGCGTCGCATCTGGACGGAAGCGCGCAGCGTATGTGTAGGATAAGACAACACAACCCCACGCTTCCTCCCCCGATGCGCATCGTTACACCCCGTTGGACTTACAACTGTTAAGAAGGATTCCCGTGTTTATGACATAATTTTTGTAAAAGCGATTTGTCGACACGTCAACGTATCTGTGAAGGGAAGTGTGCAGGGAGGTAGATGTGTCGGTGTCTGTGGGTGCGTTACAAGAAGAGGTGACCCTGGCAGTAGTGTAGTGTTTGCGTGGGATTTTGTGCAACGATTAGGGTCCGCTTCTTAAACTTCGCTATGAGGACACACCTCAGCAGGACGTCCTTGTAGTAGGTGTGCACGGAGAGATGCGTGCAGAGAAAGAATAGAAACGCAACGAGGGTGAACACCTGGATGATGGTGTGTTTTATGCCTGCGGGAAAAAAAAAAAAGTAGAAGTGGAGATGCAAGAATGGGAAAAAGCGTAGAAGTAAATACATATACATATTCCCCTCTGACGAGATTCGCTGAAACGCCTCTCTGCCGGGCTCTCCTCCTCCACTAACGCTCGCGCCTGAGGGCTGACTTGTGGACGCGCCTCTCCCCGTCCGTCTTCAAGATGTCCAGAATCTTATTAATAATACAGTCGCAGTCGCTGACGAGGCAGTAGAGGTCCTTCTCCAATTTTTTGAAAAAAAGTTTCTTGATCTCATAAATGATGTCACCCATCCGGTTGACAATGCAGAGATCGTCATCATTTCTCGCGCCCTCAAAGAGGTATCTCCCATTCTTAGCCCCATAAATATAAATAGGGACCAAATCGATATTGTATCGTATGTTTATTTTACTCGCCAGACACTGAGTCGTCTGGCACAGCAACTTTATCCTGTCTTGTTCATGTTTTATTTCATCAATTTTGGAAAAAATAAATAATATTTTCTCTATATGTTTTTCATAAATCTCTTTAATGATAAGGAGTAATCGATTACTTAGTGACTTCCCGGAAGAGTCAAAGAAAACCAAAATGATATCGACATAATCAGCCAAATCATAAATGATGCTATTAATATCAAAATCGATTTTGTCCATAATATCTTTCAGCCCTGGTGTATCAATAAAATCGATATTTTTTGTTTCCACATTTTTACTTACGTACATTTTTGTGCATAAATTATTTTTAAAGTTTCTATTTCGTGTGGCAATCTGCTTTAGGAAGTCAAACGATTTAATCGTTACCTCTCCGTTGAACTCGGAGTAATAGTTCCCACTGGTGATCAATGTAAAATGATTTGTCTCAAATTCGTACCCTGTCTTCTGAATGTTTTCTTGTAAAAACCAATTAATGAATGTGCTTTTCCCTGATGAGGAATTTCCTATGACTAAAACACGCACCTTCTTTGAAATAGTCTTATTAATACTGAGGAACAATCCCTTGGCTACATTTCGGATGTTCAGGCGGTCCACTCCTTTATTGTTCATAACTATGTTTCCATTGTAGAGCTCCTTTATCTCGCTTACGATATTGTCGTATAGGTTTAACTTATCGTTCATCGTTCCACACATTTTTTTTTCGAATTCTTCCTTCTGCTCCATGTATTCCTCCTTGATGTTTGACGCATCCGAGTTGTCAGAAAACTCCGTGGACTTTTCGTTCCGTCCCATCGTCATGTTGTCCTTGCTCTTATATGGCTCCGAGTTGAGCGTCGTCTCGCTCGGCACGCTCTGCATTGTGTGGTCAAGCGATTAGCAAACAAGGGATTAGCCAAGAGGCGGTAAACGTAGGGGAAGTCCCACTGTTACGTAGCGATACTGTCAGGCCGCTTTGCCGTTACGCCGCTATATGCCGCTATGCAGGGGTGTTCCAGTTTCTTCTATCTCTCGTGCGGCCTACTTTCCCCCTTCCCTTTTTTTGCCAATCGGTGCCTATTAGTGGCTCTTTCCTCCCATAAATATGGCGCCTCGGGAGAGGATGCGGGGCTTCACACTACGCGGTAATTTTGCCCTAAGTTGGTGAACTCCCCTTCGGGCGGTGCGGGGACAGGTGCATGTGGACGCGCGAAGTGTTTACGATTTGGGTGGCAACTCCGCTCGCAGCTCCTCTGCCAACTCCTTTTCCAACTCCATTTGACACCCCCTTCCCCTTGCACGCGCACAACCGGGGGTGTACAAAAGAGCAACCGTCGAGAGTCACAGCGCGCCAAGGTCCTTCATGCACAGATAAGTGCACACCACTGGGCGGGGAAGGAAAGGCAATTTTCCGCGCGGGACAGATTAAAACAGATTGGGCGTGCTTTTAATAACCCAAATGGGAGAGAGAAAAAAAGGAGCGCACAGATGGGAAGCAGAAAGGGGATACACAAACGGGGGGCAAAAAGGGGACACACAAAAGGGAGGCAGAAAAGGAAAAAAAAAAAAAAACACACTAGCAAAAACGAAGTAGCAAAACGCAGTAGCAAAAAAGCAGAGAAACCTACCAGGTGTAATATAACAGATCACTGGAACAGTCGCAATATAACAGATCATTCGCACAGTCGCAAAGTCCAAACGAGTGCGTTATCTTGTGACACATTCTTCTCAACTTTGATTTGCATTTCCATAGTCCCTCTCATTCCCATGCCCTTGAGAAAGGGTCGTGAACAAAAAAAAGGGGCGTTGCAAACTCGGGTGCACATGTGTGTAAACGTGTTATGCGAGAAAAACACTACCGAGTGTGTACGTCAAGAGCGCAGTTAACCCCCTCGCTCACGAGAAAACCACGCGGAGACGCACAGAGAGTCGCCACACGCAAGTGTACGATACGAAGTGGCACGAGTGAGTGCTGTGTATGCCACCCAAAAAAAAATAAAAATAAAAAAAAAATAAAAAAAAGTCCTGTTTCATCCTTCAGACAATACCATTTATTTGAAAGACATATAAAAGAGCACACACAAAAGAACAAAAAAAAAAATGCACACTTGAGGGGTGCAATTATTTTTTGTTATCTGATGTAACATTCAGGGCTTGGGAATGTGCACGCGTAGTTGCTCTCTGGCCAATGCAAGGTGAACAAACAAAA